TCTAGTATTGTAGTAGAGGTCTAGTATTGTAGTAGAGGTCTAGTATTATAGTAGAGGTCTAGCATTATAGTTAAGGTCTAGTAGTATAGGTCTAGTATTATAGTGGATGTCTAGTATTATATATAGGTCTAGTATTCTAGTAGAGGTCTAGTATTATAGTAGAGGTCTATCATTATAATCTAGGTCTATTATTGTAATAGAGGTCTAGTATTATAGTAGAGGTCTAGTAATATAATATAGGTCTAGTATTATAGTAGAGGTCTAGTATTATAATATAGGTCTTGTATTGTAGTAGAGGTCTAGTATAATCTAGGTCTAGTATTGTAGTAGAGGTCTAGTATTATCATCTAGGTCTAGTATTGTAGTAGAGGTCTAGTATTATAGTAGAGGTCTAGTATTATAGTAGAGGTCTAGTATTATAATGTAGGTCTAGTATTATAGTAGAGGTCTAGTATTGTAGTAGACGTCTAGTATTATAATATAGGTCTAGTATTATAATATAGGTCTAGTATTATAATATAGGTCTAGTATTGTAGTAGAGGTAAAGTATTATAATCTAGGTCTAGTATTATAGTAGAGGTCTAGTATTATAATAGAGGTCTAGTATTATAATTGAGGTCTCAGTTTGGGTTTTAGGTGGTCCCCTCTCGGACCAGTTTTGGCCCCCCATTTGGTGGGTCGTGCTCCCCTCCGGTGGTGGGTCCCCCTGCCACCGGTGCATTGGCGGCTCTCAGCAGCTGGGGCTGGGTGGTGGGGTGTGTGCTGGCCCGCCCTGGTGGCTGCCTGCGGGGGCCTGGGTGCCCTGGCTCTGTCGGGCCTCTTTTGGGGTGTGGTATGACCTCAGGGCTTGGTGTCCATGGCCGGATCCACTCTGGAGGGGCGGGTTGCCGGCGGGGCCTGTTGACTTGTTGCTACGGCCTCCTGGGGTTTCTGCATTATGGTTGCTGGGGATCGCCCGGGGCTTCCCTTTGCTTCTCTCTCTGGGGGGGTTTGGGTGTCCCTGTTGGGGGACTCCTGGAGTTCTGGGCTTGGGGACCACTGTTACAGTCTTCCCTGTGTTACATCGTGTCTTGTGAGGACGGGTTTATGGGTCCCCACATCCACTATTGAACATTTTTATGGAGAAACCTTATAGTGATAAGCATGCTCACACATGTGTTTAAATTCAGGTTTTATCAGATACACACTCAGTTGGGTTGTGTTGGACATCAAATATATATTGTATTACCATGTACTGTATAGCATACTTTCTAATGATGTTATAAGTATCATTATATATGTTGTTTGTTGTAAAAGAAAAAAAAGTCTAGTATTATAGTAGAGGTCTAGTTATATAGTAGAGGTCTAGTATTATAGAGGTCTAGTATTATAATAGAGTTCTAGTATTATAGTAGAGGTCCAGTATTATAGTAGAGGTCTAATATTATAGTAGAGGTCTAGTATTATAGTAGAGGTCTAGTATTATAGTAGAGGTCTAATATTATAGTAGAGGTCTGTCACGATTCACGCCTGTTCGAGTCAAATCTTTTTCAATCTGTTCACTGCTTGGTGTCTGTAAACTAGGACTGCAACTAACGATTATTTCAATAATCGATTCATCGGGCGATTATTTTTTTCGATTAATCGATGAATCGGCAAAAAAACCCACAACGTTTTAATTTCCACCCCTTTATTCCAAAATTGAACATTTGACTGACATAGCAATTCACACAAAAAACAGGTTGCTATTTGACTATTCTGTTAGTAAAATATTGAATAATAAAAAATAAAAGGTAGTCAAATAGCTTAAAAAAATGTACACAAAAATATATACAAATGTGTCTTTATACCTGCACAGTATGTAGCTACTTTGTAAAATGTGTCCTTGAGGGAAGAGTGTAACCTGGATTAAAAGTGTGGATTATTGTAACCTGGATTAAAAGTGTGGATTATTGTAACCTGGATTAAAAGTGTGGATTATTGTAACCTGGATTCAAAGTGTGGATTATTGTAACCAGGATTAAAAGTGTGGATTATTGTAACCTGGATTAAAAGTGATGATTATTGTAACCTGGATTAAAAGTGTGGATTATTGTAACCTGGATTAAAAGTGATGATTA